AAAGCGCAAAAGAAACTTACAATGGAGGTGTTTGTATTGTAATTCAGCTAGCCCTGATATTTTGGCATCAAATGAAAGCTCTCATTGAGCAAGTACTAAATTTAAAATATGACGTGCTGCTGGCACACTTGGCCTAAAGATAATTGAATTTCAAGGTATATACAGGCTATAGAGAACCTGTACTGATCCATATAGGACCTCTATAGGACCCTATAAGCCCCTATAGGGGTCCTATAGGAGTCCTCTATAGGCTGTATATACCTTGAAATTCAATTATCTTTAGGCCAAGTGCGCCAGCAGCACATCATATTTTAAGTTTAGTACTTTCTCAATGAGAGTTTTCATTTGATACCAAAATGTCAGGGCTAGCTGAATTACAATACAAACACCTTCATTGTTAGTGTCGAACTCTCTTTCATTAGACTCGAATTTCATTCATAAAAAACATACAAATACAAACTAAATAGATATCGTGTAACTTAAGAAATGCTACGAAGGAAAAATAAGTTAAACAACATCAATTCGATATTATTGATCATATTTTGTACGTTGCTATATTGCTTTAACAAGCGTGTTTCAGTTAAAATATGTTTATAAAATTGTTCGCAACAACAATTCTTAGTGTTTCTTATTTTAAGTTGAGCAAGATTATAGTAATGAGTTACAATCATATTTTACGCCACTGAGAAAATTGCAATCTAGCAGTTCAGAGTTTGGAAGAAAATCGGCAAAATTTAGAAGAAAGCGCCAAAATCAGAAAGTGTTAGAAGAAAGTGCCAAAATTACAAAGTGTTAGAAGAAAATGTCAAAATCAGAAAAAAATCAGAACATCAAAAAGATTTAAGAAAAATTTCCAAAATCCAGAAAGTTTTCCTTTTTTTCAGACGATCTGGCAACCGTGACCGTAATATACCTTGTTATTTTTCTCTAATTACAAATCATAGAAGAAAACGTTTGAGAAATGTTGATCAGAAAAGCAAATGACAAGAAAAATATTCTTTGTTTTAGAAATTAGAAAATTTCAACATTAAGCACAAGTAAAAATGTCAATGCACAAGGAACATTTATATGAATTTTTTCAGTTCGTTCGACATCGTTCAAATGTATTAGATGACATTCAGGAAATAGCAAAAGAAGTAATAAATGAAGAACCATTTAAAAAGCAAGCGCTCTTAGTCGATTGCTTAATGAAAATCAAAACAAAATCAAATTTTGTAAGTTTGATTTTTCTATTCTACTAAAATATAATTCAGTTGTCTTTTTAGGCGAACGTCGGATACGAACTTAAATAGGCTAATGAATCTCTACTTGTAAAACAGTTTCATGTGAAATAGAATAAATTTATCACTTAGACATTTGAATTTTCTTTAAAAAAAATTAGCCTACATTGTTTAACTTTATTCATTAGCATAAGTGTTTGTTTAACTTAATGATAATTAATCAAGCTTAAATTTTACTTAAAACTGACTTGAAGACACCATTTCATATTTAAAAAAAAGAATATATCTATATATTCCTATTTCCTTCCGAATGAAACAGAAATGAAAAAGAAATTAAGATCAATAAATGAACAGAAAAACAACAAAGAAATACAACTTAATGTGAACAATTTTTCTAGATATTTTTTTCAACGTCTACACATATATATTGAGTTTTAGACTTAAACATCAGTACAGATCGTGGTCGAATATCAGCCACTTGACGATCAGCACTTATAAACATATATTGCCTTTCTTTCTAACCTTAAATTACATTGGATCTATTCATTGGTTAAAAAGCCAAGTCTTCTTTCGAAAAGACATCACAAACTAAATTATTACATATATTTGAGTTTAATTTAAGAAAAAGAACCACACATTGTGTGTCCTTTTCGATAATTAAATTTTTGCATCGTATTCACTTAAAAATTCTAAAACTTAGTTCATATATTATTGGCATTTCTTCTGTTTAGAATATATCAACAATTCTTTTTAAATGTCTTTTTCTTTTGAGAAATAAATTTTCACTGAATATATAATTGAATTGATTTGATGATACGTCGTCAATGAACAGAATTTAGTGACGGTAGAATAAATCTTTTAAAAAGAAAATCAACATTAAACAAAAGCAAATAATTGGCTTCGAGTCACATTGAATACTATCTTGATGAATACAACATCGTGCAGTTGACAATATTGATAGACGACAAAATTTTGAACAAGATTCAGTAACTAACGCATGATGATCGTATTCAACTATATCTACTTTTGAAGAATTCGAATCTTGAATTGTTGTTTATCTTCTGAATTAGCTAATGACGTCGCGTCTTCATTAATTTGATACTGCAATTAACCCATTATTTCCACACTTAGGTCCATTTTCGTTTTTGGAAATCTGATGAAGACTTTGACGTTTTCTCCTTTTTTCATTTCATCTCTTTGGCGTGGCTGAGTTCTAAAACAAGAAAAAAACGATCTTTGACAAACAATAACTATGACACAAAATGGTGTCCTACACCCAATGAAAAATATTCTTACGAAAATCAGGATTATTTTTGATTACCGATATACAAATCTCCCACTTTTTCCAGAAAATCCGATTAAAATCGATTGACAAAATAATCTGCTAGACCGATTATTGTTCCTTATCTCGGTTTTGATATGATTTTCACCGACAATCGATTTTAATCGGTTTAAATGATTGCTACGAGTTTGAAGTATACCAGTTAGTTTATGCAGAACCAAATGATTAGAACTAATCCGACATATTTTGTTAGAAATATAACATTTCATGTATTTCTTATAGTGTTTATAGACGTTTGATGAATGATTTGGTGAGAAGCTCCGATGGCTGCATGGAATTTTCGGTGCTGATATTGTATTGCGGCTATAAAATTTATTTTTCTTATATGTGGTATACGTCTGTATGACACAAGCAACGAAAATCTTTCGTTAATGTGAAAGGCTAATGAAGGTCCATATGTTGGAGAATCGTTCTTAATCAATTTCTAAGCCTTGGTAAATCTGTGACTGATTCTCTTTGCAGGGGTAGGGGGACCTTCGCAAAGCTACCCCCGCCCTTGACCTCGGTCATCACTTTTCATGAAAAATTAGGAAATTTGGAGGATTGCTTTCTGGAAAGTTGTTTTATTATAAGGTATATTGACTGGTATAATGCAGAAGAAAAGCAGGACAAAAAAAAATGTAAAAGAAAAAAAACAACAACTTACAACGTGTCATGTTACATTTTAGTCAAATCGCTTGAAAATTGCAAAAACAATAGAAGAAAAAAATCCCGGTGTCAACAGGAAAGCCATTCTTGATACATCAAATATTGATTAATATCTAATGAGTCGATTGATTAATCATTTTATTTTATTCAAAATATTTGTTGTTATTGTTCAGATAATTTAAATAATGTCTTCTTATGCAATTTCTTCTGGTCTTAAACACACAATGATAGAACCAACAAACTTTGCCTTGGACGATTCACAGAGTAATTATGATGTTATTATTCAATTTCATTCTGCCGAGGTTAATTCGTCATTAGCTTTATTTTACAATATATTTTCTTCTTGCAGAACATACCAAAGATGGATGTCAGTGGACATGCTGATCCGTATTTTATAGCAAAAATTGATGATCGAATATCGTTTACGTGAGTGTGATTTTTATTCGATTCCAGCAGAAATATCAAACTTAACTCAAAAGAAGTGTACAAGAATCTTTTTTCAATCATACTCCTATTTTCGTAGAAAATAAAGAATCAATTTCTCAGTACAATTAAGTAACATTAGAAAGTCAAATAGTTCCTATAGTTAAACATATATTTTATGATAATTTATTATTGTATACTTAAGTTTTAGATCAACTATTCTGTCGAATACGGCAACACCTAAATGGAATGATGAAAAATGGATTGTTCGAAATATTCCTTTAAATGCTAAACTTACAGTTAAAATCTATGATAAAGATGATTCGAAAATTCTTGATAATTACATTGGTGGATTTGAGATTCTTGATTTAATCAATTATTATGCTCCAGTAAAAGGTCATCAAATAATTGATTCATTCAATCGTCATCATGGTTTTTTTCATTTATCTATTCAATCAATGGAATCATCAGAAGAAACAATACATCTTCCTCGTTATACATTCGATGGTCCTTGTCGATATTCTCGTCATGATTCATTTGCCGTTGGTCGTTTAACTATGCTTAATGCTGATTGTATTTATTCAACATGGAAAATACAAAGCAGCACAAACGATATTTGGCAATCTCCTCTTTCATTAGCATCACAAAATGCACTCAAATTAGCGCATAAAGTACTTTATGGTCGAACATTAAAATATAATGAAAATGGACAATTAAATAATGCTAATGATCTTTGGAAATGTATTTTCTCAGATCGAACAACAAAGCGTATCAAACCATGTATTTACACATATGTTGTTGATGATAATACATGGCGTTTTAGTGAAACTGATGTGCAAGTTTTTGCAGATTTTGCAAGTAAACATGCATTATTAGCTAATGCATCAGAATATGTTCGTTATGCCGGTCAATTTCATCCACGTCCAAAATATGGATGGGATAATTGTGATGATGAATGGGAATTAGTATTCGATAATGGATATGGTACTTATGCTCCTGATATTAATCTATTGATTAATTTGAAAGACTTATTATTATTCAATTTTCCTGGATTACATATTGTTACATATGAATATGACGATCCAAAGTTGAAAGAAAGTATGGCAGCATTAAAACATGCGACAGAAAAATATAAAAACAGTACAACGACAATTCAACAATTTGTTTTGACTTGTCCTTGGACACCTTAGTATAGGACATCTGATATGATTTATGATACTATATCTTTTATTGAAAAATTTTTTTCTAAATGCGTTTTTTTGAAATATTGTATTTAATTGAATGATGTGCTTAACATACTATTGAATCAATATAAGAATTAAGATCTCCCTCTCAAAAAAAAAGTCACTTTTCGTCAGAATGATCGAAATTAAGATAAATACAGAAGAAGATAGCCCGTGATGTGGTCTCTCATAAATGACAAAAATTTTTATTTGGTACCTCGTTTTTTTCAAAAATTTTTGAAGATTTCTGTCATTCCCTATTCGAAAAATAAGCTATTTTTGGAAAAAACCATAAATCTTTTTCGTTTTTTCCCAGTTTATGCTTTTTCGATCGTGCAAACCAAAATTCTCTGTCAGCATCTATTCTATATATTTAAACTTTTCTTTGTTTGAAAGAGTATGTCAATATCTAGTGTCTACCAGAGCCTTTTTCTTTGATTAAGCTTTATTTTTACTATATATACAAACACTTTGAGTCATTGAACTTGTGATCTCTTTTTTTCGTTTAAAACGTAATAATTTTAAACAATGGGCTCTAGCAAGCTCTGTATCCTGACATGCTCTTGCAAACGAAAAAAAATTAAATATATACAATGAGCCTGGACAGAGAAATTTGGTTTACCAAATGAGTTATTTTTTATCTTTGTTTGGCTCATATCTCCCTCAAATGTTATGGTATAGGGCTGGAAATTTTAGCACAGGTTTTCCACTATAACTTCAACATGTCCTGAAAATTTCATGCCATTTAAACGTTTCTGGTCTGAGATCGATTTTTGAGGTAGGGCGGGACCTTAATTTCTACTGGATATATTAATCTTTTTTTTGTTGGAGAATTGATTTCAAACGGATAAACTTCACATAATTACGTATAAAGCAATGTTTCGTCTAAATTTCTGAAGAAAAAATTTTAAAATTTAGTTTTACTAGTAATTCTGGAAAATACAATTTTGCGAAAATCTGTTCAGTGTGCATTTATTTCTCAGATATCATGCTGAGAACTATGGCACAAAAATGGTTGATTTCTAAATGATATTCTCTTCCTTTTCTTCTTCGTCATTCCATTCGCGATAAGTACAAGCTGAGTAAATTACGGTCAGTGATAGAGCAAGACATTTTGTGAACACTATTTAGTGTTGTAGAAAGTGATTAGCACTTGTTCTATGATGATTAAATTCATTTTTACAAGTTGCATTATGATTTGCTGAGAACGTGAAATATGAATGATCAGGATGATTTTGAATGTGCCGACTCATATTGATACAGCAAAAACGTATGTTAATATTGGTCAAATCTATGCATATGGGTTTCAAAATTATTCTGCAGCATTAACCAACTATCAAAAAAAAGCGTTAGAAATATTGCAAAACGAACTACGTAGAAGCAAATCATTCTTTTATTATTCAAACGCAAAATGGAATTAGATATGCTAAAAATATCTGTATTGATTAATCCTATTTCAATATTTGTACTTTACAATTAAACTTGATCTCCATCACTGTTTATGTGTTCTCTCTTGTACATAGTGGATTGCAAATGCTACGAGAAGCTAACGTTTACCTATCATATCATGATACGGAGGTTCAATTCTATATATATCTCGACAATCTCATGAATAACGTCAATTGATCAACAAGGGAGATATACGAGATGAATACTCAGCTTCAATCTACACCATTCGATTCTTCAATGATGATATTTCAGGTGCGTGCATTGTGATGCATGTTAATCGTTCTTCAGTTTTTCTTTCTGTTTACTTCCTTTCAGTTGATAGAGTATGGCTCAGATTGGATTTCGATAATTCAGAATGATTAAGATAGAGCATCGTCTTGTAAGAGAAAGTTTGTAACAACCACTGATCATTTTGAAATAGTTCGCAAGAAAATCATCTATGACTCTGGCAACACCAATTGAATTTTGTCACTGAAACATCTCGAAGAATACCTCTTATTCAGAATGCTACATGTACATACCATCCAAATATGAATAGTGTACGTGTCTCAAGAGTCTGTTCGTTTATTCTTTTGTTACACAAAGCTAAAGACGCCAAAGTTTCATTGAAAAAGTTTAAAAAGAAAAATTAGAACGATGCTATATACGATGAAATTTATATACGCTGAATTCGTTTAGAATTCATAGATTCATAATATTTCAAAATTAACAAGACTTCCAATCGTTTTCAATTATTTAGAAATGAAATTCTAATAATATCCTTTGTAATCCATGACGAATTTTACAAACCTGCGTATTAAGATTGGCGCAGTGTGAATTAAATAGGCATAGAGTATTGCAAGATGAAATATAATATATGATCATTTAATTCTATCAAAGAATATTCAGTGCAACCATGCATAAGCAATGTAAGAAATGATTTGTCTCTTGAGCGACTCAGTTTTACTTTTCACAGAAATCAAATGACTTCAAATAGAAAACGGATTCTTATTGATTTTTTGACTATTACGACATACAGGCCATTCTCATTTGACATTCATTTTTTTTTCTCAAGATTTCTACATGAAAATAGTGTGATTTGACGAGATAGGTGTGAGTGAATGGTATGTCTTCATCTACACATACCCACGCCCACACCCTCAAATATCTCTTGTGAAATTCTAAGAAGTATACCAAATGAGGCAGAACTTTATATGAAGTTTTGTCACATATTTGAAATTTCTGTTGAATCATTATCTAAAAATTATCGTTATTGTTTCATTGTTTTAATTTTTGCAATGGGACGATAAGGTAACTGTTTATTTGTTTTTTAAATTTTGCTCAGCAAGAAAAAAATTATTTGAAAACCAAAGTCAATCATTTTGTAAGCTAAAGAATTCTTTTTCGAATAAACTGGAAACTAAAGACGCAAAAATGTATAGTGATAATATTGAATTAATTTAATCATTTTAAGAATAGTTTTGACATTTTATAATTTTGACATATTATTATTATTCATCACTAAAAGGTTGTTTTTTCTAATATCCTCAATAGTTTGACATCCACATAGCATCATAGCCACTCGAAATTCTTTTCTTAATATATCCAATACATTTCTCACACCTCTCTCTCCATCGACCGCCAAACCCCATAATACTGGTCGACCAATCAGCACTGCTTTGGCACCCAATGCTATAGCTTTTAAAATATCTGTTCCTCGTCCTATACCACCATCAATATAAACATCCATTTGATTATTATCGCCAACAGCTTTCACAATATCTGGTAAAGCATCAATAGTATTTTGACTTGTATCCAATTGCCGTCCACCATGATTCGATACAATAATTCCTTGCACACCATGTCTAGCAGCTTCACGAGCATCATCCGGATGCAGAATTCCTTTGAGAATGAGAGGTAATGATGTAATTGATCGTATCCAATCAAGATCTTTCCATGATAAAGCTGAGTCAACAATCAATTTTCGAAAAGCTGAAGCCGTAATATTATTTTCATCGATGAGATTTGCAGCGTCAATGCCATCGGGTAACGAAAAATCATTACGAACATCAGACTCTCTATTAGATCCTGCACTCCTATCAACTGTAATAATCAACGCTTTATAACCACATCTTTCAGCTCGTTCAATTAACTTTTGTGATAATTGTCGATTTCGAAATACATATAATTGAAGCCATAGTTGCGAATGACTTTGAGGATAGTTTTCTTTGATTTGTCGTCGATATTCATCTGCAATTAGTTCCATGCGTGTTGAAGAATTAATACTGACACACATAATTGTCGAACAAGCAACAGCTGCCCGAACAGTTGCCAATTCTCCATGTTCCCGATTGGCTAGACAATGTAAAGCTGCAGGAGCAATCATGCACGGAAATGACATTGTTGTTGTAGAGTTTAAAATTTGTGTCTTACAACTTATTGAGTCTATTGTTAAATGTGATGAAACATCAATAAGTACTTTTGGACGTAATTTAATTCGACGAAACGCTTGTTCATTATCAATCAATGTTAGTTGATCATCGGAGCCATTTCTAAAGAACTCATATGTCATTTTTGGTAATGTTTTTTTTGCTTGTTGATGATAATCTTCAATATTTAATAAAGCTCGTGATGTTTTCTTCTCGAACCTTTTCTCTTCCTCTTTAATCTCTTGCATTATTGTTGGTGTTTGCATCTAAAAATTTAGCAAAACAGCAGAGCTATGTTAAACATTGTTCCTAGAAGTTTAAAGACTCATCGTTTTTCTAATCATCGCGATCTCTAAGAATGGCGTATAAGTCGAAAAGTCGATTTGGACTTTTTGTTTTGTCAAGTTTTAAAATTTTTTTATGCCGTAGTTGTACCATTATCCCCCAGCATAGATGGAATCGATACCGGTAGTCGATCAGTCTACCGGTATTTACTTCTCTAATTTTTTACCACCCTATTCTTCTCATTTAGACTCCTTCTATTATCTTATTCAATCTTTATCCCCCGTTTATTACGTAGGCTAAATAATATCTAATTTAAGATGAATGTCTCCCTTTTATAATTGAGAGCTCACTAATAAAAAACTTTCTACCCGGATTTGTTCGTCGTAATAATTGATTTGAAGATAATAATATATAATAGATGAATATGTTTTTATTTAATGATGAATAAAAACAAATAATAATAGAAATATATTAATAAGAATAATAATAATAACGTTGAAAAGGATAAACAACGAAAAAATAAACAATCACCGGGAGGAGAGAAAAACAACAACTGAGTGACCAACGGAACGTTGATCAACCATAACGAAAGATCAACAAGAACAGATTAGAGAGGATCATATATCAAATAATAATGATAGAGTTGGCGTCATAGAGTGTCATCTATTGACGCTAACACGTTCAACGTTCTTATTGGTCCTAATTGACGTTGTACGTCGAATATGTAATGAAATTTCGTTAGAATTTCAAGAAAATAAATTATACGAAAATAATTTGAAAATGTTTAGTATATATAATTCTTTAATTTTTTGTATTGTACATATTATATTGTAGTTAGAAGTGATAACGGCGGTTCGGTACTGGTGCAGATTTTAAGCCGATCGCTCTACCACTCTGATACCGATCTAGCGGCCGATCCGATTTTTCAGAGAGGTACCGGTAGCGGTTGTCAAGAAACTAGACCGATTCGACCTATGCTTCCCAGCGCCTCTCTAACTCCTTATCCGTTAGCCCTTACCCACATTGATCTCTCATCCTTCGTGCTCGATGGCCCTCGGTTTGTCAGAAGTCAATTAGTCACTGTTGCTTTGTTACATATATTTGCGCGAGGAGCTGGCCATAGACCGAAACCGAGTCGAGCACTCAGCACCTCGACTCAACTCGACAGAGATCATGCCGAGTTGAGACGAGTGCTTTTTAACTTACTTCGGCCTTTAATACTGTAGTCAGCTAAATTTTTTTCTTAGTTGATAAGAGAACAAAAGAAAAAGCCATTATTTATCTATGTATTATTTGTTTTCCTCTTATCTCAATGAAACAACGTTGGTCGCGATAGTCATATTCAAGGTCTCTCTCGTCATATCTGTTTGAAAAGCGTACCGATGTCGATCATGAGTTCCAAATAGCAACAATAGTGGAAAGTAGAGAGATGAACACAAAAAATTGCGCAGAAAGCTGGAAAGAAGGCACTTACGTATATATTAACGATCATTTTGTCATTTTTTTGTCGATGACTATTCGTCTGTTATCATGAAAAGATATCGTCTCAAAGGTGAATTTTGACCCTCTAGTGCTGTTGACACAACAAGAGAGAAGCAAATTATCTGGTCCATCATACAACAAACAAGATGCATAGCTGCACTTGATATCTCCGATAACTCATGTGCTGTGCTCTAGTCTTACAAGTATGCCTTTACCAGTAGCAAAGTTTGTAAAAAAAAGGCCTTGATAAGTAAAGTAAATGGAGCCGCGAGCAAAAGTAGCTGCTACTTTTCCTGGATTGTTCAACTGATCGAGCTTAAAATTTTACTTCTAACAAATTTCCATGAGTTTTCATCTCGAGCGCCGACCTGTGCTCGATCTGTCGAAAGCGTGGCTAAGTTATGGGTTAAGTGCTATTTCAACCCGTTGGCATGCGTATCTCGAGTGTGTTCATATAGAAGTCACTCGGAAATGACTCCGTCGCAAAGGGAGAGAGAGAGAGAGAGAGAGAGAGAGAGAATCGGCCAAAACTAAAACAAAAAGTGAGGAAAAAATGATATTGCCTGATGGCAAAAACCGTCAAAATCGACCAAGAAAGGTAATGACGCCGCTTCCAACTGCTGTAGGAACGCTACTGACAATGACACTGTTTTTCACGTCACGGGCCAAACTATTACTCTCAAGGAGAAACTACCCAATTTAAAATATGAGCTGCTGATAGCAAGGCTACACCGAGTTATTTCGAATTTTAAGGTATTGACAACGTTAGATATATAGGAACAACAGAATTTTTCAAATTCAGCTCTTTTGTATTATTAATCTTTGTTTTTTCAAGTGGTGAGTTTCCATGATTCAAACTGCATTTATCTATCTATCATATAAGTGTCGTACTAGTTTCCACATATTCTGAAAATTCGGTGGTAGCTGAATGGAAAAAGATGCGCTCCCTGTTAGAAAAACAGCTTCTATACAATCCGGGATTCCCGGGTCCGAGATTCTCGGGTTCGGTCATTCCCGGGTTCGGTCATTCCCGGGTTCGGTCGTTCCTGGGGTTCGGTCATTCTCAGGGTTCGGTTCTTCCCGGGGTTCGGTCGTTCCCCGGGTTCGGTCATTCCTGGGATTCGGTCGTTCCCGGGTGTTCGGTCATTCCCGGGTGTTCGGCCATTCCCGGGTGTTCGGTCATTCCCGGGTTTGTAGTGGTACCCATGGGTCCTCAAGTCTTACCCTAGGGGGATGCCCTTAGGTTCTTAAGTCCTACTATTGGGGGGGGGGGTACCCTTGGGCCCTCAAGTTCTACTATTGGGGGATACTCTTGGGTCCTCAACTGCTACTATAGGGATACCCTTAGGTCCACAAGTCATACTATAGCGGCAAACCCTTGCGTCATCAAGTGCTACTGTACAGGGTACTCTTAGATCCTCCAGCCCTACTATAGGGGGATAAACTTGGGTTCTCAAGTTCTACTATAGGAGAACACCATTGGGTCCTCAAGTTCTATTATAGAAGGATGTCCTTGGACTCTCAAGTCTTACTATAGGGGGATACCCTTGAGCCCTCCAGTCCTACAATACGGGAGTACGTAACATCATCTAGGATGCTAGAGGCGTCATCCGGGATGCTAGAGAGAAAACTAGGATGCGAAAGCTGATTGGTTGATAATCGGCCAATCAGATGCGACGAAGCGGTTTCTTCGCTATTGTAACGACAAAACCTACTCATGTTCGGGTCAAATGAAAGAGCACCCCAGATAACCCTAAGATCGGCCCGAACAACCATATGTTTTGTCCGAATAATAGAGGAAAAAACCGCACTAAAATCTGATAGGTTGATAATCGACCAATCAGATTCGGAGACGCCGTTTCTCATCTATTGTAAGGGCAAAGCATAGGATTGTTCTGGCCGATCTTAGGGTTATCTGGAGTGCTCTTCCATTTCACCCGAACATGAGTAGGTTTTGTCCTTACAATAGCGAAGAAACCGCTTCGTCGCATCTGATTGGTCGATTATCAACCAATCAGCTTTAGCATCCTAGTTTTCCCTCTAGCATCCCGCATAATGCCTCTAGCATCCTAGATGATGTTGCATACCCCCGTATTGTAGGACTTGAGGGCTCAAGGGTATCCTCTATAGCAAGACTTGAGAGTCCAAAGACATCCCCCTATAATAGAACTCGAGGACCCAATGGCATTCTCCTATAGTAGAACTTGAGAACCCAAGTTTATCCCCCTATAGTAGGACTGGAGGATCTAAGAGTACCCTCTACAGTAGCACTTTATGACGTAAGGGATTGCCGCTGTAGTAGGACTTGTGAACCTAAGGGTATCCCTATAGTAGCAGTTGAGGAACTAAGGGTATCCCCCAATAGTAGGACTTGAGGGCCCAATGGTACCGCCCAATAGTAGGACTTGAGGGCCCAATGGTACCGCCCAATAGTAGGACTTGAGGACCTAAGAGCATCCCCTACGGTAAGAGTTGAGGACCCATGGGTACCACTACGAATTCGGGAACGACCGAACCCGGGAACGACCGAATCCCGGGAACGACCGAGCCCGAGAACGACCGAACCCGGGAACGACCGAACCCCGGGAATGACCGAACCCGAGAATGACCGAACCCGGGAACACCGAAACCCGGGAAATTTGAGCTCGGTGCATGCCTAACCCACACTCGTACATCCACGCCCGTACACCCACATCCACACCCTATCCACTTAAATGAGTTTCTGCTAGCTATTTGTCTAATTTGCAACGATTACAACCATCTGAAGTCATACAGAAATAAATGTCAGCCGCGCACTCCATACGAAATGAAACTCATTGAAAAAGCATGGGTGTTTTGCTTCTTTTAGGTCACTTGTTATCTCCTCTTTCTGTGAATATTTTATTGCTGTTGTATGTTGTTCTTTTGATAGTGTTTATTTGATAAGAATTCAAAAAGAAACATAAAAGGAAGGTAAACACAGATAACAACCGAAAGCAAAGGATTGATATGCTGCAAAAGTAAGATACAAGTCATTCGAGAAAAGCAGACAAACGGTGTGGGACGCAAAAAAATCCCGTGAAGTGCAACAGATAATTCAAATTACGAAGAGCAACGCTTGTTCAAGAACTTAATCGTAGTAAGTAAATTATTGAGAATATTACAGCTGCAAAAAGAAACTGTATTCAATGTTTTACACTTGACGCTAAGACCAAGGGAGAAACGGTGGATTCCGGATTTCCAAGATTCCCGAATTCCTATGGGATTTCCATGAAAATGTCGGATTCCTATAGATTTTCGAATCTTTTATACTAATAAATGACATTTCCAATATTCGTATTTAACCTCTATGATCCTCACCCTAGTCCTGAAAATCTCATAGAACTTACGAAGGAACATATCCAACTGATTCCGAGCTTTCGGCTTCATATTTTGGCTACAGATAGGCCTCAGTGAGACTAAGAAAATCCTAGAAGCGTTCGTCCCCATGGGCTGCTGGGCCAAAGTTATAGCCATTTTA